CCTGTACAGCGAGCACAGCTTTCTGGGTTGTGTTGGTATGCTTCATACAAGATAACTAACTGCAGTGGTGGTGGAGATTTACACTTTACTTAATTTTCCTTTTAAGGCTAGTCAGCTTCCACCTGGAATGAGTTCATTATTTCCCCAATGTCTCATTTCACCAGGTGAAGGATTCGCTGGGTCCAACACGTTACCCATCTTTCTTCAACTGCCTCGCTTCATTCTGCAAACAAAGCCAGGCTTATATGGCTGAACCACCGAAGGCTTTATCACTCCACCTGGCCTCATTTTAACTGTGTCTACATGTATTGCTCCCATTTCCTCTCTCCTTCTATTGAAATTCTTAATACAAAGGAGAGAAATAACTAAGCAAGCTAAACTGGTTCATCATGAACTCAGCTGTTACACACCTGTAACATCTGCTGTTGGGTTTGTGCCTTTTAAGCTATAAACTGCCTCTGTAGAGACTATTTCCATGCAATAAGAGCCAAAACCAAATGGAGTATTTATATGGTTCCCTTGTTATGCAAGCATTTATAACTATGAATAAAGCAGTACATCAGCACAAGGGAGAAGAGTCAAGACTTCAGGATCAAAAATAACTGCTGTAGTTACTGAGATTTTTCCTTTGACATAACTTTATAAATAATTAGATTACAAGACACCTGAGGGCATACATCATCTGATCCTGTAACAATAACACCTTGAGGGAGTTGACAACTTTCTCCTTTTGGCCAAGTGCCTAGGAAGACGCTAAGGTATATGATTAATAGAGAGCACAAACACACACCCTTGCATGTCCTAAAGCTTAGTTTTAATCTCGTATCCCTTGTGGAATTTTATTATTTCTATTCCTGATGGTGCTGCTGTTGTCACAGAATAACCAAAATCCTCATAGGAGGTGGGTGAGAAGAAAGAGAAGATGAAGAAAATATTTGTTATTAAGGTGGGGGGGACCTCAAAACGAAGCATATAATAGTATTAGCTGAATAATTGCACAGAAAAATCATTCCAAGATTTTAGCTGGATCTTCCTGTCTAGTATTCCCTCCTTTTGTGGAACAGTCATGTGTTTGCCTCTCCCATATAGAGAATGAGATGCTGGGCAATGAAAACTCCTGCAAATTTCTGAGCATAATATGTATTCTTATTGCTTCCTTTTCTATTCATGTATTCTATTTTGCAGCTGTAAACAAAAGCAGTTGCCGTTTATCTCTTTCTATGTAGTTCACTTCAAACACATTGCTTGCACAGATTCTCACAAAGCTGAAGGATCTGACAGAGGAAGGCACTGCCCATGCTGTGTCCCCTCACCCTGGTCTGCACATCATATAGGCAGCATGATGCAGTCAGCCATGCCAAATTACGGCAGGGTTATGGGGTTCCTCTGCTGGGTGTCAGTGAGCAGCTGTGGGGGACTCGAGTGGGGAGAAGGACGTTGGAGGTCAGGCAGTGACAGTGGAGGACATTAGTGGGAGCAAGAGATGAGAAAAGAGGAGAATAGTGCTGGGAGAACATCTAGCAGTCATACTGGAGACTGGCAAAGTCTGGTGTAGCTGGTTAGACCACAGCAGGATGAAAGGGAGCTCTGCTGGGTTGTTCAGGCAAGGAGCTAAGTGTTTAGGATGTTAGGTGTGAGGATCATATTGTGAGATTCCAAGAAAGTCGGATGAGGAAAGCCCAGGATAGGCACTGGTAGAAGACAGCAGGATTGTCTGAGAGAAGAACATGGCAAAAAAGGATGCGAGCACATGTGAGCACAGCTCTCCTATGGCATGGGAAAGGATTGTGATGCTCCTGAGTCTTACTGTTTTTCTGCAAGCAGCAAATACTAGCAAAACCTCATGGTAAATTGAGAGTCATGTCCTTTTTCTCTACTAGTCCATACCAAAGGTGGCAGTCAGCTGTTGCTGCCAACTAGCCAGCTAGTTCAGCAGCTGAGGCTTTTTAGTACATAGGAAGGTTCCAGGCTTGCTGATGTCTCATTGAAGTGTAAACACAAATCCACATGAAATACATATAATGGCATTCAGATTGTGAAATCAATCACTATAGGGGCAGGAAATGTCAAAATCAGGGTTCTCCTATCAAACTTACTTTGGCTGCATGGGCTATATATTGTATTGTCTTTGCAGGATTTGCCCCTCTTTCACCTCCCCAGTTATTATCTTTTCAGGGTAGCTAAAGTACCTGCTTCCTGCTTTAGAGATGAATCAGGGCTGTGTACAGCAATGAGGTTGTCCATAAATTTCTTCCCTAATTTGTAGCAGAAGTTTGAAAACATATGGACAATGGGACTGAGAGCTGTGGAAGAGAATGGAGGTATTCTGAGGGGAGGTCATGCTGCCTTCAGAATTGTTTCTGACAATACGTTCCTAAAGTTTTCAGATGGCTACTAATTGTACATTCCTGGTTTTCTGGGTACTCAGATTGAGAACCAGCTGCCCCATTTTCTCTGGAAGAGAAGTCAAAGTTAACTATACTTTGAATATAAAACACTATGTAATGCTCAGTGCTCTGAAAGATCAGTACTTCACGCCAAAGTCTTCAGTGCTGTAGGTATTATCAGAGGTTTATATACCTTGCCTCAGAGGCCTTCATCAGATTGATGCATTGATGAGTACCACAGGAAAAAAAAACAAACCCACAAACCTTGGAAAAAAACTGTCATTCTGGATTCAGAGCTGAGTTTCTGTAGACCTAACAGTAGATAAAGCACAAGGCTGCACATTAAAAGGCAAGGATTAAATTACAGACTGGATAATGTCTTGTTCAGTGAACACTGTTTATCCTTGCAGTGATTGAGACAGGGATCTAGTGGTAAAGTAGTATCCAGTCATGAAATTCAAGAATTTGACTTAATGCAAGTGGGATTTATGCAATTTCCAAGGAAACATATCATGATCTTCCATGAGGGTTCACTATGAGTGTGGTGAGGCACAGGTTGCCCAGAGAAGCTGTGGCTGCCCCATCCCTGGCAGTGTCCAAGGCCAGGTTAGACAGGGCTTTGAGCAAACTGTCTAGTGGAAGGTGCCCCTGCTCATGTCGGGGGGGTTGGAGCTAGGTGATCTTTAAGGTCCCTTACAACCCAAACCATTCTGTGATTCTATGATCTTGAATATTTCATTCTTCAATGTAAGGTTCTGTATTGTTTGAATCTGGATATGATTAATGGTTTGTGTGGAAGAAAAATACAGATATATATGAGGAGCATGAAGATGTACATTTTCCCTTCTTACTGAGCAAGTGAAAGGACTAACTTAAACAGATTCCGGTTTGCATGGTGAGGTCTCTGAAGAGTAAACACAAAGGGCACTGCTCACTGCAGCACCACCACATCTCGGTTTTGTGGAGGTTTAATACCTGCTAGGGTTCCTTAGGTTAGCTATTGAGAGATTCAGAAAATAGCACTACAAGTCCTTCAGTAGCTGCTGTAATTTGAGAAGATGGAAATAAGGAGAAGGTAAGGGAGAAGCATGAAGAAGAGAGAGCTCCTCTTCATGTGGAGAGCTGCTACTCCATGGAATGAACTGGAACTTTCTGCCTAGATATCTGCACAGTTCTTCCTTTCTGGATCCTCTATACCATACCTGCTGACATACTTCCTAAAGACATCTGAGTTTAGTGTCCTGTCCCCATGCCTCCTCCCTCTGGACTTTTCCAAAGATAGAGCTTTGCATACCTTATTTTAGGATTTTACCTGTTGCTGTAGCCATGATGATCGAAGGAGTTAGGCAAGAAATTGTTTTAAAGTGAGGGTAATGTATTTTATTAGACCACGTGATGCAGTTAGAAAAATGAGGCAACTTTCAAGTACTGAAAAAGCTACAGAATTGACTGATATACAGGCTTTGGAGTCTGAAGTGTGGTATTCTGACCCCATCTTCACTGTTTTCTGTGTATATTCATGGCGGGTTATAGTAAAGTTCTGATACTATAAAAACATTTGTTGGTGGGATAGAGATACATTTAAAATGAAGACAGGTATATAAAATGGGGCCATTGTGCTGCTCTGGCATACAAATTTATTGCTCTTGGAGCAGAATAGAAATGGGCCATAGCATTCCTGAAGATCTCCCATCTTCCATAAAGACACTGGTGTATTTCACTATGCTGCTATATGAGAAATCTGTGACCTTCTGCAAGCCAGCCTTTGCTTAACACAATGAGCAACCTGCACCTTGGAGCAGCAGCCCTTCTGTAAGTTTCTTCAAAACTTCCTGCGTTTTAGTTTAGTTTGCACAGCAAGGAGATCAACAAAGACCTTCCTTCTCAAAGGTCTTCCAGTGCAGACCTTCTCTTTGTAAAACCTGCTTTCACAAGAAATTCTGCTTTTGCAAATACCAGTTCATGAATCACCTAATGAAAAAATTCTGAGCCTTTCTTTTTTTCAGGCAGAAATGCCATGTCAGCAATCAGAACAAAGCATCTACTTTGTGTCTCACACTCTCTGTCAAGCAAATTTCATTGAGACATCCAAAATATTTTACTAATATTTTACTTGATGAAGATAGGGTGAGTTAAAAATTGAGCCACACATTTTTGTGTTATTATGTTCTCCTTGGTTTTTCTTTCCTTTAGAAGTTAGTAAGTGCTATTGTGAGAGATCAATGAACCGTGAATAAGTGACCTTGTTTTGTGACAATGTCCAGAATTGACAGAAATCTGTTTAGCAAGTTTCTTCAACTTTATTTTATTTTTCAGTGTAAAATAGTGACACAAAGGCCAGTTATTTTGTCTGGGTGCAAAGTGAAGTTGGTAGTCAAGATGCAGACTCTGCTGAATGAGCAAATTGAAATTAGAAATTAGCGTTGGCTGGGTTGATTTGCAGCTTGGTTTCAGGCTTTAATCCTAAACAAATCTGTCCTTTCATTCCTATCAATATATGTCAGAGGATCATTTGAATTATAGATAGGTATTTCCTCTGTCATTCTTCTTGCAAGTGTGTATTTCGGTACAGGGCAGATGGCAGAGATTATTTTATATTCATAATACGTATACCTCTAAGAGAATCATGCTGCAGTGTGCTGATGCTGGCTGCATGGGTTATGTATTCTCAGGAGACCAGCATGTTCAGAATGTATTCTTTTGCCCTTTCCCCTGTCATCTCATGTTTTGCTATGATAGAAGCACTAGCAAATGAGAGGCTTGTTATTGATTTCTGTGCAGATGTTCATAATTTCTTTGTAACTCTGCATTGGGTGGCAATAACTGATATACAAAATTTGACATCTTGATTATTTCTTGATGGAAAGGAGGGCCACTAACCTGAGATACAGCAGCTTATTAGCTCTGGATCTGTGGATTCAAAGCAGCCTTAGGTCACAAGTGAAATGAGTGAGACTGTCTCAGTATATTCTGTAGATGTTTGTTTGTGTCCCAAAGACACCAGGTTGCCTTCAATGTGATTGGAGCAGATGGAAGAAGAAATCCTGAAACAAAAAATGTTTTACTTCCAGTGTTGCTAGCCTAGCTGAAATTGCAAGTACTGGAAATGTCAAGAAATTTGTGAGCTTCTCAGGTTTATTGCTAGTTGCATCAAAATATGAATCCCAAATGCTATTGTCTACTCAATTAAAAAGAGAGGTTTGAGAAATTTTATGCTTATCTGTCAGTCCCATCCAGTGGGCATAGCTTCAGTTCCCAGCACTTGCAGCTTTATGCAGAGCTCCCAGGAGCTGGAAAGGATAAGTGGACAACTAAGGGCAAACAAGCGCCACTGGTCTTTATTAGATATTAGTACCAAAAAGTCTGATCCCCAGCCACTGAAGGTATTGCTGTCATTACAACAGTGAAACAAATTTCTTCAGCAATAGGTAAATGCCAGGCTGTTGCTGTCTTTGCTTTCAGCCATATGTAACTATCATCCACAATCTCTAATGTAGGAAAAGTTCTCTCAGAAAGGATGCCATTTCCCTACTAACCCTCCAGTTGGCCTGTATACCTTGTAGCTAAAGCTATCTTTAAAAATTATATGGTGCATTTCTGACTACAGGATTAGTTGATCACCACAGAAGTGATATATGCATCATTGTGCTGTTAAAATTCATATTCTTAGTCCAGTCACAGACACCCCCACAGAAAAACATCAGCATTTCAAAAGCTATCCTATGCTGAACAATAGAGTAAATGGCAAGAACAGAAAATTTGATTTCTGTCTCAGTGGAAGAAAAGATCTAATACGAAAGAACAATTGTGCGAGGTTTTAAAGCTTGATTGTTTTGTATTTCACTGGTACAACCGGCAAAATTAATTTCAGTGATTTAACTATTATTATTATTGAGTTACCCAGTGCCCTAGAAGGCAAGAAAAAAATCTAAGTTCTCTAATCTAATTCATTACCTCTTGTCCTTCAGAGCTGGGCCAAAGTTTGCTTGTACACTATGCACTGGAAAAGGGCAGCAGATGTTTGCTGCAGTGGCTCCTTCATAGTTAAGTCTCCAACACTGGTCTGCATTTCTGTATTGGCATCGGTAACAGTACAGAAGAACTGAGGCCAGAAGAAGACAGAAAGGGGGAACTGGGAAGAGGAAAGGTGTTTAAATTGTAGTCCAGGGTTTTTTTTTCATGCTCAGCTGCAGAAATAACGGAATGCAAACCTAAGGAGGGATACTAATTAGGATGCCATTGAAAAGAGAAAAAAATCAGCATCACAGTGGTCAAAGCGAAACCTTGCTCACTTATGTAGCCTTAATTCATTTTATTTTACAGGGACAGCAAGCTCACCATGTTGCTTCGGGAGTCCTTGGGGAACATGAACTGCCGTACCACAATGATAGCTCACATTTCAGCTGCCGCAGGGAACTACGCTGAGACACTGTCCACCATCCAGATTGCATCAAGGGTCCTCAGGATGAAGAAAAAGAAAACTAAGGTAAGACAGTGTATAACTCCCTTCTTGTAATGGTGGAGGAGGGAGGAAGAAGGACCCTGAATGATCCTGAATGATCCTTAACACAGCAGTGTGTAACAAAATCAGTAATCGATTCCAAAGCGTGTGGGTTGTATGTATCTTGTCCTAGACAAGTAGTTTACAGCACATAACAGAGACTAGGAGGGGTAAGTGCTTCAGCTTCAGATACAGAGGAATGTGTTCAGACGTCTGCTATAGCAGGTTTGTAAGCTGGCCTTATTTAATGGCATAGCTGTCAGAGAGAATTTGTTTTCAGTTATGCTTTTAGTGCTAATGAAATAATAAGGAGTGAGACTGCTGTAAAGTTAAATAAAATTGGGATTAATTAAGAATTAGATTCTCTGTGCTTCTCAGAGAGAGCTCCTACAAAATAAATGCAAAGCAGTGTGTCCATTGCCAGTACTGATGATCCTGTTATTCCCACTGCTTCTAAATATGGATGATAGATTTTCCAAGAATTGGAGTGAGGATGGGCTGTATCCACTTTCGTGTTTTAGAGTTCTGGTTACTTCTGTACAGTTTATGGTGTGAATTGGATACAACGAGTGCCTATAGATTGACAAAATCTTTTTTGTCACTGTTTTGAAGAGAGGCAAGGGAAGGGATTCAGTCTGCACACCATCACAGCAGTCTCCAGAGACCTCTGAGTGCACATTATACAATTCTGTACACTGGTAGTATAATCAAATGGGGATTTCCTTTATTTTCTGTGCCCTGTGTAATGAGTTTTCTCTTTCCTCTTCACATAGCACACACACACACACAAAATCAGCAAAGCCTTCGCCAAATATCTGATTTCTTTGGCTGGGCTCATTTAAGGGAGAGATCCAAATCCATTTGTTCAGTACATTTTTTTTCTGAAGTCTTATGATTTTGAGTGGGACACAGATTTGGGGCATTGGGTTCTCCACTGAACACTGTTGTGTGTTTTCTGTAGGGCTGTACATAAGCAGCTTTAGAGTTCTGTGCCTTAGTTTAATTTCCCAGTTTAGGCGTGGCTGTGACCTTTTTGTGTATGTGCTTTGTGCAAAAAGCTGTTTGCAGTGCTGAAATGCCATGATCTCTCTCTCTCTTACTGCAGTACACTTCGAGTTCTTCTGGAGGAGAGAGCTCCTGTGAGGAGGGCAGGATGCGAAGGCCAACCCAGCTGAGGCCTTTCCATTCTAGAAACACTGTTGACCCAGACTTCCCTATTTTGCATTTATCAAGTGATCCTGATTATTCTTCCAGCAGTGAGCAGTCATGTGACACAGTGATTTACGTTGGCCCCAATGGCACTGCCCTTTCTGATAAGGAACTGACGGATAATGAGGGTCCCCCTGACTTTGTTCCCATAGTTCCTGCTCTGCAAAAGACAAAAAACGAGGGCAGGTTGGAAGAAATTAGTGAATCAGGGCCCAGCACATCTGAAAGAGACTGCCTGAAGTGCAATACCTTTGCAGAGCTCCAGGAGAGGCTGGATTGCATAGATGGCAGTGAAGAGACCGACAAATTTCCCTTTGAAGAGCTGCCTGCTCAATTTAGCTCAGACCAGAAGTCAAAGTGCTCTGTCTCAAGCCAGCTGGCAGAGCTTAGCCACTTACCAGAACCAGATAAGGAAGATTCGATGCCAGAATGTCAGTATCCTGATAGAGTAGCCAAGGAAAATATGAATGCAACACCCAGCAGAACTAAGAGAAATCACTCCCCTGTTCCTTCTGGACCTCTTACTAATGTTTCAACTCCTTCTTCTCCCAGGAGTGTAACAGGCAGCTCTAGTAAAGAGCTTAGCTCTTGTCAGTTAGCACACAGCACCAGCTTGCAGAGCAGCAGAGAAGGTCTCAACACCTGTGGATTTGTGGAAGGCAAACCTCGGCCAATGGGTTCGCCCCGGCTTGGCATTGCGAGCCTCTCAAAGACATCTGAGTACAAGCCACCAACTTCTCCTTCCCAGAGGTGCAAGGTCTATACACAGAAAGGAGTTCTGCCCAGCTCCACTCCCCCACCAGCTCCTCTGAGTAAGCATACTGGGATGACGTCTGATGAATCTTTATTGCAATCAGAAATCCGGACCCCACCTGTAGGCATGAGCCCTCAGATCATGAAGAAGTCGGTGTCCTCCAGCAATGGGGATTTTGAAGAGACCATTCTTGATGAAGATCAGCATCAAAGCATTTCTACAGAATCCAAGAAGGAGATTCTGAGCACCACCATGGTGACAGTGCAGCAGCCATTAGAGCTGAATGGAGAGGATGAGCTGGTGTTCACCCTTGTAGAAGAGCTAACCATTAGTGGGGTCCTTGACAATGGGCGCCCAACCAGTATCATCAGTTTTAATAGTGACTGCTCTGTGCAAGCTTTGGCCTCTGGATCTAGGCCAGTCAGTATTATCAGCAGCATATCTGAAGATCTTGAATGTTACTCCAGTGCAGCTCCTGTGTCTGAAGTCAGTATCACACAGTTCCTTCCACTTCCAAAGTTGGGCCTGGATGATAAATCCCAGGATGATGGCAGCAGACGTTCATCCATCAGCTCATGGTTGAGTGAAATGAGCACAGGGAGCGATGGGGAACAGTCATGCCACAGCTTCATAGCCCAGGCATGCTACGGACACGGGGAAGCAATGGCAGAACCCCCTGTCTCTGAGTTTGCGAGCACCATACAAAGTTCCAGCATGATTTGTTTAAGTGACAAACAGAAGCCTGTGACTGACAACGTGCTTATACTGTCAGAAATGGGGGAGGAAGCTTTCGGCAAAGTGCCACCCATCAAAGGCTGTAAAATATCAGCTCTAGGGAAAACTACTGTCACAATCAAAAATACTGCAAGCCTCAGCAGCTGTGAAGGCTACATCCCTATGAAGACAAACATTACTGTGTATCCATGTATTGCTGTTAATCCCTTCAAAGCACAAGACACTGATGCCGCTGTTCCAGCAGTAACTGCAGACTCAAAGGTTGCTCATCCCCATGACCGGAGAGAATCCAGTGCTAAGAAGGATATCAAATTTGAAGATCCTTGGTTGAAGAGAGAAGAAGATGTAAAGGACTGCTCTGGGAGCAGTGATGGGCCAAGGCCTGACATGGCCACAATTTCAGGCAAGGCTGAGCACAGCACAAAGCAGTCCTCAGTGGACAGGTTTAGCAGCAGCAGTGGGGACACCTCTATCTCCCCAGGATCTGACAGTCTCAAGAGAATTGTGGATGGGTGTGAGGTGGCAGCGTCTGGCTCAGCAACCCAAAGCCCTGTTCATTCCAGTGACAGCTTGAAGAATGGTAGCCTCCCTCGAGGGCTCCCGAAGGCAAGCAAGCTGGAGGAGCCTGACAGTCACCTCCATCCTACTGCCACTGACAGCAGTGGAGGCGGCTCTCCTGCCCTCCCCCAATTTTCTAAGGCTAGCCTTGACAGGAAAATGGTCTCTCCCAAACACTGTGTTCTCACTCGTCCCAAAGGGACCCCTCCTCTGCCACCAGTCAGAAAGTCAAGCTTGGATCAGAAGAACAGAGCCAGCCCCCAGCACAGTGCAGCCAGCAGCACCACAAGCAGTCCTTCCAGCCAGCCTGGGTCCTTCTTGGCTAACTTCCCTGAGGAGCTGAATGCCAAACAGAAAGTCCCTGGTATTGACAGCAACTGTGGCAACAGCAGCAGCAAGCTCTTCAGTGCCAAATTGGAGCAGCTAGCCAGCAGGACCAACTCCCTTGGGAGGTCCACAGGAAGCCACTATGAGTGTTTGTCACTGGAAAGAGCAGAAAGCCTGTCCTCTGTGAGCTCTAAAATGAGCCCTGGCAAAGACACCACCATGCCTCGCACCGGGAGGAGCCTCAGCCGTAGCGTCATGTCCTCACCCACCAACTCAGGCCTCTCCCAGTCAGCAGGTGCCTCTCCAAAGGCCAGCCAGTCAAAGATCTCTGCTGTCAGCAAACTCCTGCTGGCAAGTCCTAAGGCCCGCAGCCTATCTGCCTCTGCCACCAAAACTCTCAGCTTCTCAACCAAGTCACTGCCTCAGTCCGTAGGGCAGAGCTCCAGTTTGCCTCCAAGTGGGAAGAACATGTCCTGGTCAATGCAGTCCCTCAGCAGAAACCGGGGCTCCAGCCTCGCTTCTAAATTGCCCCTTCGGGCTGTCAACGGGCGGATTTCAGAGCTGCTCCAAGGGAGTGCCAGTGCCAGAGGCTTACAGCTTCGGGGAAGCCCAGAGACAGAGGAGCGTGGGGGCCTTCCTGGAGACGAGAAGCCGGCTGTTCACATACTGCCTTCACCTTACAGCAAGATCACCCCTCCTCGGAAGCCTCACCGCTGCAGCAGTGGCCACGGGAGTGACAACAGCAGTGTCCTGAGCGGGGAGCTGCCCCCTGCCATGGGGAAAACAGCCCTCTTCTATCACAGCGGGGGGAGCAGCGGCTACGAGAGCATGATGAGGGACAGTGAGGCGACGGGGAGTGGCTCTTCAGCACAAGACTCCATGAGTGAGAACAGCAGCTCCATGAGTGGCAGGTGCCGAAGTCTCAAAAATCCAAAGAAACGATCAAATGCAGGTAAGCTTGTAGTGGTGTGAAAGAGGGATGCAGACCAAAGCAGATAAGTAGTACATGGCGGGGAGGTTAGCCCCAAAGGTGAGCTAATTCAGTACCAGCTATATCACTTAGCAAAGAAGTGAGGCCAGGGTAAGTGTCCTAGACTTTGAGTCTCTTCATTTTGCAGCGTGCACAAATCCTATGTGGTCGCATTGCCTTTGCAGTGGAGTCTCTCCCTCACCCATTTCATTTAGGTTTACTTCACATGAACAGAAGAACATTTATCCCTAAAACTGGTTAGTATTGCCAATGGTAACCACATTCTAATGTGTTTCACCAGCACAGTATCAGTCTTGCCAAATAGCAGTATCTGTTGTGAGACCACTTCTGCTCCTTGCGTGTTTTGGGTACCCAAAAGTACAAGATACCCCACAGCTGACACCATCACAAAATTCCTTCTTCCCACCTAGAAGATGGAATAAAGTTGTGCCCATGCTCTTGATAAGTGTCATCCTGCCTCTGAGACTCTTGTTTTTTAACTTTTGAGTTGAGACTCCTTCTTTTCCTAGTAATTTATTGATAACAAATAATAATTTCCATTAATAATAATATATGGGAACTACTGCACTGCAGCACTTGCAAATCTGAAACGTTTTTAGTGATCATAGACAGGATCAGAAAGATTTCATCATTGTTCAGATATAATCCCCAGTAGCTTTCACACTACATCAGGACTTCAATTAAATAGCCTCATATCAAGAGTCTGTGCAGTTGCAACTATTACATCTTCCCACCCGAACAAGTTTCAGAAGACTGTAGACCAGGGATGGGGAGCAGTTATCAGCTGGTGACCCCACCTCTTTTCTGGGTGCTGTTTTTCCAATCTGAAGTGTAAGTCTTGCCTAACCTACACTTGAGAAATAAAAAAAAAGGACGTTGGCATTGAAACTGGTGTGCACAGACAGGTATGTGAAATATCAGTGACTGCTTATCCTACAGTAGTGCTGGCTATCTGAAATGTGATATTCTCATAGAGTTCCTAACCCACCAGCCATTCCACTTGCTGGGATACTCAACTCTGGGATTTAATTGCAGTGAATGAACTGAGTAATGAGTAACTGTCCCTTTCTTTATGTTCTTGACTGTGGTAGCAGGAAGAACATGTGCAGCACAGACGTGAATACAATAGATACTGCTATTAAAACCATATCCATAAGTGCATGGCTGATTGTACCTGTTCAGAGGATGCATCTGAAAGTGATCACTCTACATGGTGCAAACACAGACCAAGTGATGACATAGTCTTTCTTAAGTTAACTTTGCAACCTATCCCTTCAGTTTACATGGTAATTGATTTTCCTCTTTCTAAGGAGCTATTCCTCTAATAGTTCCTTTCAAATATAACTGTTAAATGGTAACTTGCAAGAAAATGGGTAGATGATTTTTATGTTGTGGAAAAGGAAGACAAAGCTGTCCACAGAGATGAGATTTGTGTGTGTGTACTGACAAATGGATTGTGTCTTGTGACAAGCTGCCCATATAATATGGACTTTTTCCATGGGACATTTTGATGCAAAAGATTATCAAGTTCTGTGAAAACAGGCAGCTGTGCAGATAATCAACAGATAAGAAATGGCAATCTAGATTTATCCTCATTAGACACTAGAGAATATCCCCCCTTCTCTAGGGGAGATACTTTAAAAAAATACTCTGGGAAAAGCTTCAGGCAGAGATTCTTTAAACTCCAGAGTTCATCCCAAACAGTAGAAGATGATGATTTGTTTACTCTGATGCTCATAAAACTAGTTGTTTCATTTCACTTTTCTCTGCTTTGATAACACATTGAAGGTTGGACAAGGCTGGATATATGAAGGAGAAAGGCATTGTCCCTGTGTTGTAATGACAGGAGAGCTTCAGATCTGTGTTGTACTTTATACCAGGATTATATTTTGGCTCAGAATTTTAGCTTTTGATAGTCCCTGTGCAGGACTGAACATTGTGTCAATGGCCATGCATAGGGATTTATGAAGAGAGGACTGTTTGAGGCTCAGATTTCAGGTTGCTTTTGTAGCAGTCTGGAAGACACATCTGGAGAGAAGAGGCTTTTCCATGGTCTAGCCAGCCTTGAGCCTACCTGGCAGAAGAGTGACATTGGTTTGTTGTTCTGTGCAGGTATGCAAAGACAGTGAACGAGGAGGTGAGCAGGAACCTTTCCATAGTGGGAAACATGAGGAGTCTAAGCTTGCTGCTTTTTTTGCTGCTGTGTAATATCTGACCTGTCTTTTTCACCAAATACAGGCTTTTTTTTGGCTGGCCAATAGTATAAAGTCTTTATTCTGATTTCTTGTGTGGGTTACTTCCTTTCTTCTTGGTCATCAATGTTGCATATATCTACCTGTTGATGGACTGCAGTCTCTAGAGTGTAGGAATTTCAGTGGAGGGCCTGTGTCCATGCGAAGTCCATGTCCATGGGCCAGGCTATGATGCCCCAGTGGACTCATCATAGCCTGGCATGTTGACCTTCCACAAAGTAATTTACAAAGCTTCTGTCTTAATTCAGCCAGTCACCTGATGTGGAGACATTCTGAGTGTATCATCTCTGATGCTTTACTTTTGAAAGTGATTCCCTGGATCAGCAAATAATTCCTGTATTGTTTTGAATGACTTGTATTTGTGTATAAGTACAACCAGGGGGTTTATGCAAATGAAAAACAAAACAAAACAAAACCCAAAAGAAATCTTTACCACCTTCCATATTTCAAGGAGGAAACCACTGCCCAGAAATTAATAAGGCTTCACTTTCTTAGAGCCCAGCTCCTGTTTGCATTTGGTCCTGCAGCAGTGAAACCATGATTCTCTTTTGATGTGTTTGATAATAGCATAATTTTTCACATGTCAGCAGATTTATGATGGCATAAGCCCAGGATTATGACTTCAATGCAGGAGGACATGAAGGAGGAGCTGAAATATAAGGGAGAATAGAGCTGTTCTCAAATGTATTTTTATTGCATAATAAACAAAAAGAATTGCAGAGTTTTGCAATCTTTTATCCTCTGTAACATCTCCTTTCTATAGGTCTGTTCTAGTGTGAATGTTCTCACTTAAGGAACACTTTTTAATGAAAAAGCAGACAAAGGTTCTGAGCTCCTAAAAGACAGATATTATTTTAATACATAGTGTCAAGAGCATTGGACCTTTCCTGATTTGCGGTCACAGATCCACTGTGCTGTAATGGATATGGCACTATAGATATGCTCATTTCAGGTCAGGCAACCTTGTCCACTTTATTTATGATTATTATTAACAGAAATGCTAGCTGTCAGACACAATCAACATGAATCAGCCGAAGGCCCCTCTAAGAGAAGTTATAAAGAGTCTTTAAGAGAATCACCAGCAGATCTCACAATTACTTTTGAAGTTCTGACACATTGGAGAGACATCATTTTTTTCTTGAGATTAAGATCTTGTCTTTCAATGCTCTTAAGCGTGTTATTTGTATGTGTAGGTGCTTCTGCCCTGGATGTCATACATGAAGAATCAGACCCACAGTGACAGCTTTTGAAAGATAAAGCTAGTACATATCCTTCAGTGAGTGTTAGCTTTAGGTTAAATTTTGGGTTCTGCCTGGGTACCTGTATGGTTCACAGCCAGCCAGCCAGCCCAGTACTGCATGTACAAAATTAAAATAAAACAAAAAAAAACAAACCTAAAACAAACAAAAAAGCAAAACCAAATAATAAATGTTGCCTCTTGCATTCTGGTACCTATTGAAAAATCATGTGTTTACATCATGAAGCACATAAGCCTTTCCCCTGAAGTTAAGCTGTCCATTTAATAAATATTCCAATTTTTCTAGCATTTAACATTGTTCCTATAATATCATGTCAGCATATATTGCCCCAAAGTGACTGCTTGTGGCAGAAACAGAGCTATTTATCTCTGATCTATGGCTGTGCATTTCAAAGCTGTGTACATCTGCTCTTTAATCCACTTTATTCCTCTTTATTCCAGAACCTACTTTACAGGTGGAGAAATGAAGGCAAAGAACTTTACTGGCATGCCCAGTGCCTACAACTGAGAGCCAGATCCAGGGTTAAATTACAGGCACCTTTGACTCCTAATCAACCCCAACTGACTTGGCCGTGAATCCTCCCCTGCCCTTCCTGAGCAGCGAAGAAGAGAGTTTCATTTGTTATTTTCTTTTTGAGTCATGCCTTTCCTCCCTCTCTGCCCACAAGCATTTGTTCAACTGTGTTTTTTCTGATTTCTTTGCTCACTCCACTAGCCTTTCCCCTGTAAGAAACAGCTTCTCAGCCTAATTTCTGGCCCTGGCTCTAGTCTTCTCTCTCTTGGATAGGCAGTGCTGTTTTGAGCAAGTCACTGAAGTGTTAGGGCATAGTTTGTACAGTCATCACTAGCACAGTTTTATTTTTTAATTCCTCATCAATTTCAAGTGCAGTGGCCCATTGCTGCTCCATGGAAAGGCAATGATAAGGGTGCTTTTATAATGCATACTCCTATATGTGGTAAGGAAATGCATTCTGGTTAAACTCCATTTTGCCCAAGCCATATTTGTATCCCAGGAGCACAGCAGGTATGAGAGGGAGGCAGTCAGAATGGCAGATTAGGACTTGCAAGATCTACATTATATTCTCTGGTGTGCTGCTGCTTCTCTGTATCACCTTGGGCAACTTGTGCAATTTCTATGTCCTCTGGTTACCAGCTCGTAAAATTAGATAATGGTGTTGTGAAGAAAAAGTAGCAGCACGGTCCGTAGATCAGCAGTGATACCCACGTGCTTTTTCCTTTTTGCTTTGTTTTTTAGCATCTTTTCCCTAGTTTAGTTTGGATGTACTGGGACATTACTTTAAAATATTTCTCAATGCAAAACATTACTAGATTATTTCAAAAGATGCAGCTTTGATGCTACCTCCAGGTTCTGCCTCCTGTAAGCTAACAGCAAACCAAGAGTCCAGGCTCTAATGAGGTTTACCCAGTACAGCCAGGTCCTGTCAGCATTCTCATGTAATGTGCACTTACTTATGCCTTGTTACTCCCCTCTCTTACAGATGTTATTCATTAGTTCCTGTCCCTTACAGTGTTTCAGAGCTGCCCATAAGGAGAGCTTCTCTGGGGACAGTAGAACAGGAGGGGCTCTTGAGAGCATTAATTATAGACTAGGCCTTTCATGGAGACTACAGAGATCTTCCTGAGTCTGTTTCCTTTCCTGTTCCCTATGGGACTAGGGATGGGTGCCAAAGAGAGTCCCTGTGCCATATGGCATAGAGTTAGACCTAAAGGCTGCAGTCTATCACTGCTTGCAGTGGTCTGCCAAGACAAACAGAAGTCTGCTGAGGAGTGTGCCTCCTTTGATTTCTCTAGTTGAGTTTTTTCAGAGCTGAGTCTGAGGCTGGAGCTTTTGTTGGTGCCGGGGCCAGTGCCAGTAGGTGAAACACTCAGGGCTGTGCTCTGTGGCCTAAGCAGGCTTGGGGAAGCAGCCAGTGTGCAGCAGTTGTAATGCATCGACCAGTGAGGACCACTGTCTGTTGACTGCGTGCACAGACCCACTCACTGGGGCAGAGATCCAGGACTTGGGCAGGAGAGGAAGATGTGGGAAGAAGAAGACAGTCAAAGAGGTGAAGTTTAGGGGAGAAAGTCCTTACCTGTAAAGTGCTTTGAAGTTGTCTCAGTCTGGGCCTGTTCAGCCTTCCTGAACATTATCAGTGAGCATCAGAAAAAAAATCTAAGGGTTGCTCCTGAAAGTAAGGCCAAGTAGAAACAATTAAGGTTTCTAAATACCGATTTCCAGAAGTTTAAATTTGTGCCCTGAGTTGGAGTTAAGTATCTCAGCATTTGCAGGAGCCTGCTTTTTTCAGTCCAGGGTAGTACTGGTGTACACATGTGTAT